CCGCACCTTCGTGGCCGTTTTCCCTCGGGCATCGTCGGAGGTGTCCGGGGCAGCGCGGTCTGCGCCCTTCTGAGCATGCCCCCATTCCTTCCTCGGTGCCCGGTTGGTTGATCATCAGGCCGGGTGTTCACGTAGAGCCCGGTAGGGCCGCGGAATCTGCTGCAAGTTGCAGCCGCAAGGGGTCCACACCGAAAGCAGCATTGCTAGGTGCGTTTCAATCTGTCATATTGCAATGCAGCTTCATCCCAACCAGCATGTCGCTGCTGTTCTGCCGTGCTGCAATGTTCGACCCGTCTATGTCCTTCTCCTGCATCTTCATCGCATTTCGTGCGTTGTCGATTTTGCCGTTTCGCTGCGAGAGCAGATGATCTGATAGGAGGAATGGTTGTTTGCAGACCAGCCGGTCGGATTTTATCCCACCTGGCTGCCTGCAAGCAACGTTTCCCTGCTGGGGCCTGCAGCCCATCTTGGAAGCCAGCAGATTCGTCTTCCACGGCCGTGCGCAAATTCGTGTCTTGTGATCGCGCAGACGGCAGGCTCCAGCAGACAAGTTTTTGTCTTCTCCGGCTGCCACCGAGCTGCACAGGCATGAGCCCTCCGATTGTGCATCTGGGGTGTTGAGTTGCACGTTCTCAACGTGCACGCGGGCCCCAGATGTTCGGAGGACATCCTTTGCAGCAGGGGCGCCATGGGAATCAGCACATTGCAGTTTTCAAAGGCGAGCAGTGCTCCCGCCTGCTGCGGGCTCTCAGCCTGTGGTGAGGGAACGCTGGCTGTACAGGCGCCGGTCCTGCAGGTTGTGCCTCGAATTAGGATGTTGTCTTGTGCAGAAAAGCGGGCCGTCGAATCTCACGAGCCGTAGGGTCGTAGGGAGTGCTCGTCAGCTGCAAGCACGAGCACGACTGTCGATGCCCTCGGATATCGGTATGGCCGCACGGCTCCTTACCCCGTTCCTCTAGAAGTACCTTGGCCCTCCTCTGCTTTCGCGCACCTTCCACTCACCGATGGCCGCGACGGCGGCGCAGCTTGGCCCGCTGCAGGGTGCACCCGTGGTGGTGCTGCTGGGTGGCGTCGGCGTGGGCAAGAGCTTGCTGGCCACAGCCCTCGCCGGGTTGCAGCAGACGAACCAAGTCTTTAAGGTCGGCGACAGCGCCGAGGCCGTGACATTGCAGGCGACGTGCCACCGTGCACGCTGGTT